GATAAACTTCATGATGATATTGGTCTAATTTTTCATGTCATATTTTTGCAGTTGAAGCCTCAGACCTAGAAGATGATAAACTTCATGATGATATTAAAGCTGCAGAAAAACATACAGCCCTTCATTCTGCTCTATCAGAACTTGCTGGTGATTTTGATGGGGAGGCTATGTTCTTGCAGCGATTTTTTGGTGCAAGACTAAAAGCTGTAGTATCCACAGGTTCATTGAAGCTTGATCTTGCCCTTGGAATTGGAGGATTACCAAAGGTGACCAGTAGCTTCTTATATACTAAATTCTGTTTGACATCTATTTATAAACAAAGCAACTACCAAGGGTTAAAAATGCTGGCATTGTAGTATGATATTTTGTAGTCCCTGCTCATGCATAATGCATTTGCATTTTTTATTTTACCTGTTTGGTTTTATGGTCCCATTCCTTTTATCTGTAGTCGAGGGGACACACTATACTAAGGTGGCGTTTGGTTCGCTAGAATCTAATGGAATTTGAAGGGATTGGAATGGTCATTCCGTTGACTAAATTCCATTCATGTGTTCGGTTCATTTTATGAGTTCTAGTATGGAGCTCCAATTCCAGATATGATGGAATTTACAGTCCTTGGGTTTTGGTAAGGAACTCCAATTCCATTTCATCCAATCTGTTGAGAAAGATTATGGCCTTGTATTTAGTCTAATCTATTCCATGCCACCATGACGATCGTCACCACCACCACTGCCACCACCATCATCACCGCTACCACCGTCTCCACCACTACCACTGTTGCCGCCACCACCACCACCACTGCCTTCCCCATCGTCGCCACCACCGCCACCATCGTCACTGCTGCCACCACCATCATCATTCCATCACCACCACCACTGTCAATGCTGCCACCACTACTATCATCACACGACGACCACCACCACTGTCTCTGCCGCCACCAGACCACCGTACCCGTCTCTGCCACCGTTGCCACTGCCAGCAATTATTATATTATTAATTTTATCATTAAATGACATATTCCATTCTGTGAACCAAATGCCACCTAAGAGATGGGACCTGAGTTCTTTTTTATTTTGGGTTTACAGTTTGGCCTACAGATTTGTATCAACTCGTGTTCTACTTTTCAGTTTCTTATTGGTATATATCACTGGCTTGGTTTTCTACTTTTCTCATTTTTCCCATGTTATATTCATGTTTTTTATTATTTAGGGCTATATCTTGAACAAACTAAAGCAGCGGCTTATCCGCTGCGTGATCAACATTATCATAAGTGATCTTCATGTGGAATCCCAAATCTATAGGTTCTTATCGGTGCTCCACAGCAATGGCTGTCTACATTGGATTTCATCCCATCTTATAATCTGAAACAGCCCGCAAGTTCTTATGCAGGTTGGGTGGGACCAGAGCGTTTTACTCGAAAACATATCGAGCGTCTTGACTTGTCAGTATATCCTGGCAATCATTTTTCCAGATAGTTAAAATGGAAAAAAATCATCAAGTCAGTTCATTTTTTAGTTGCTTATTGTGTAGACAAAACCAAAGGTTTGCATAATCATTTTGTAATTCGAGTTTCTGCGATTGATATATATATATATATTAATTGTATTTGTATAGGGTTTTCTTTTGAACTTGATAAGAAGTGGCCACTTTCCAAAACAACTCTTTTGTTTACAATTGTATCGTTAAATAATGGATGAGCAATTTCAAGCTTGGTGCTTTACTAGTATTAATGGTAGAATAGCAAGTGTGGGGTTTTATTGGAACTCATCTTTTCTGTTTGTCCTACGATTAAAGTTATGTTAATGATTTGTATTAGTCGGCGTTTTAAAAAGCTCATCATGATGGCCGTTGTCTGATGCCATACCCCTTGGGCACGCCATGGCCTGATGCCCGTTTTTTGATGGTTTTTTTACTTTTCAATTTTTTAGCTGTTCAGTGTTTTACTTTTCAGTTTTTAGTATATGACCTACTTCTATATGGGTCCTAGATTTAGAGGTATTTGGAACCATTGGTTGAACATTTTTTTGTTATGTGCTCTTATGATAACATTTTTTGTGAGCTCATTAAACATATATATATATATATTAATGTATTATTTTTGGTTTTTCTGATATGAATTTAAAATTTTCAATATCATTGACTTATTGAGTAATAGTAGAAAACATATGTATGTGTGGGTGTATATATATAATTATATTCAGATTTACCGACGTCTTGAAAAATGTCGTGGCTCCTAAGGCTTGAGGCTTGACCTCACCACCAAGTCATGCCTCTTGCCATTTAGGACCTTGGTATTAGTATACTTCAAGCATACAATTTGGTTTTGTATTGAACACATAACAACTAATCACGAAAATGCACATTGCAGGGAAGAATTGTTGAAATTTATGGGCAGGAGGCATCAGGCAAGACAACACTTGCTTTGAATGTAATCAAGGAAGCCCAAAAGCTTGGAGGTGCATAACGATACCCTTTAACTCTACAAATAAAATTTTCTGTCCCATATTATTGTGCTCACTTTTTTCATAGAAAAGGATAGAATAGGAATAGTGCTTAATTTTCCGTACAAAAATTAGGACAACCACCTTATCTGGGGTTACAATATATTGTTCCTTCTTTGGAGCCTCCAATAAAGGGGGGAGTTGTTGAATGCTGTTATTATTTTCATATGGTGTTTCTGTCTGAAAGCTTGATTAGAAAACCATAGCCTTGATATTTTCTTTCAACTGTGTAACTGTTCAACTTTGTGTTGCCCTTAGAAAAGTAAGAAGTCGTCCCAACATGTTTATGCTGTAACAACCCTCCCTTATCAAGAAGCAATTGGTACCAACATGTCATGAAGGATCTCGGCTAGGACCACAGGAAAATGCCCTATGAGCGCTTAAGCCAAGATCATTCGCCATTGTATACAAGATTCTAAGTGGAAGATCATGAGCCATTGGCGAAGGCTTGATAACTAGGGTAAATAAACGAGTCCGGTTGTGGAAGGGAATGGGGCGCATTGAGCGTTCCTCTCCTTAAACTAGGGTCCCCTTTGCAAACTAACTCAGCCTTAGGTGTCATCCCTTCAAAATTTCTTTATCGCAAGCAAATAGTCAAAGAGCTGATGAAAGAGCACCGTTTTCTCTTATTCCTGAGAACATCTTCAGAGCAGTTATTACAAAAAGACTAGCATCTCTAACAGGAAAAGCAAGCAAAGGCCTCCATTTTGGTTTGGGAGGTCTCCTTCCTTGATGAGAGTGAAAGGAAAATTAGAATCAAACTCTTGGAACTGTCTTAAGCCCCACCTCGGTAGCTCAGCGTAGAGCAGCCTCTTGTATAGTTCAACAGGTAGTCGGACGTGGGTTCAAATCCTGCTCGAGGGAAAAAACAGAGAGAGCAGCTAAAGGGTCTTTCCTCGCTTCTGTCTTTTTTTATAGATCAGTTCACTCTGTAAACGAACAGGTGGTTTTTAGCATGGAAACTATAAACCTTCGAGAGCAAGCTCACCCACTCTCCCCCAGTGGTTAAACTCTAGGATTTGAGAATACCTACGCACTTGTGTCAGTTTCAGGTACAGGCACCCTTTTGTTGAAGGTCGTTTGAGCTTTTCCTGGGTGTATGACATGGGTTACTTCAGCGCCGTAGCGCCTGGTACTCGAACATGGCTTGAGGCATTTTCTCTACCACTTCTTACCCTGAAAAAGCTGGGTCACCTTACGTCCTTGAACCGATAACCATCTTATTTGAATTCCATATTAAAGAAAAGTAGACATCTATGGCCTAAAACTACACGAGTGGATAAATTTACGGCTACCACTTCCCGATCTTTGTGAATTCTAGAGGAATGGAAAACGAGCTATGGATGTATAAAATTCTTTAGAACATAAAGGTCTCATTTGGTTTGTAGGACTGGGTTGGAGGGACTTGGAATTGAATTCCTTTCCAATCCCACTTTTGATTTGAAGGATTTCCAGGATTTGAAATCCCACAAACATAGGATTATGAAATACTATGGGGGTGGTTGGTATTTCACGGGATTTCGTAGGATTTGTATGTAACAACATTTTAGAATATGTTAAAAACATTTGTTTTGTAATAATCAATTAATAGAAAAGTAATTTAATATTTTTATGATTATTTATAAAAAAATTATAAATTATTTTAAAGAATGGAATTCAATTCCATTATAATCCTACAAATCAAACACATCAAAGATTCCAAATCCTTCCAAATCCAAATCATTCCATGAAATCCATCCCTCAAAACCATTCCATCAAACAATCACCTCCTTAGGGAATTCTATATAATGGTCAAACTAAATTATCTCCATTATCCAAGGAGGTCGGATGTCCACAAGTAGTTAAGACTTTCATTTTGGTAAAACCATTCATGCAAGTTGTAATGTTAACGAATAACAAAATTTAAAAAGATCACTCTTCCAAATAATATGTTCGTTCTCATCTAACATTTCCTTTGTCATTTTAAGACTTACTATGAAATCAGGGTTGTTAATAAGGCTGGATGGATATGATAATGAAATTGTAATTCTGTTACACGTTGCATTGATAGTTATAGGCATTCTGTTCAGGTGATGAGCGAAGTGGTTGCTATATTAGCATAAACCATGCATGTGTCAATAAGTCTGTTGGAATTAGCTCTGTACAATGAATCCTCATCATCCCTACATATTCTTATCACTAGCGGAAATTAGAATCTTGTTGAGACAAGAACTCCTAGAACCAAACCAAAGGGCCATTGGCTCAGCGGTATCCGGTAACCCAACCTTCCTGGAGGTCAAGGGTTCCAACCTCACCAAAGGTGAGGAGTGTGTGTGAGTTTGATTTGCTGTATATAAATATTATATACTTAAAAAACGAATAGAACCAAATCGGCTTATGGATCTATGCAGTTGTGGGACACAAAATTATCCGGTTGTTAGGGAAATGTTTCATTTTGGTAATGCAAGAGGTATACAAATGGGGTGATTCAGAACCACTATTCTGAAACATCTATCCTTCAACTTGTTTCATTTTAGTACTCTTCAATTTCATTGCTAATTGCTTTAACAATGAAAAACTAAAAACATCAAGTAGCAACTAGCACCCATTTTTACAGCACCTCCTTTATGCATTAAAGAAGCAAATTATACATTTTGATTTCTCTGACCTTGTTGCACATACGAGCTGTTTCTGGTATTTCCATCCATTTCATTTTTTTTAAGTAGTTATTACATTTGTTCTAATTACAGATTACATTTAATTTCTCTTTTAAGTTTAGAAAGTTCTTTCGATAGGTTATTGCGCATATCTAGACGTGGAGAATGCACTGGACCCTCTTCTGCTTGAATCTGTTGGTGTAAATACTGAAAGTCTTCTCATCTCACAGCCAAATTCTGCAGAAAATTTGCTGAGTATTGTTGATACTCTCACAAAAAGTGGAGCAGTTGATGTGATTGTTGTGGATAGCGTAAGGGATTATATTCTTTGGTTAATAACCTTATATAGTACTACAATTTCCACAAGGAGCTCCACTAATTCTTAGCATCTTGTCATTCTTTAGCTCCTACTCACAGAAAATCATGGAATTGCATAGTATTTTACTTCTATCTATTCTGATTTGGTATATGACTATTCTTTGGGGTAAATTTGCTTATTTTTGCTATTAGCACACACAATACTCTAGTTTTACTAAATTAGCTAGTTATATATTCTTTTCTCCTCTCCAGATTCACATCACTACAACAAATGGGTCTTTTAGGATGCTCAACACCTTGGACGTCCTAATAGGGTACTTAATGAGACTTTAAGTTCATAGGACCAAAAATTTTGCGTCCTATTTAACGTCGTTACAATAAGTTGTTTGGACGAAGTTAGGCGATCTGACAACTTCTATCGTCGTAGCTGGACAACTTAGTAGAACACAAAAAGTCGATTGTCATATTAGCCTTTTTATAGTACACTTTTGAAAAGTGTCTTATTAACCTATTTATATACAGGACACTTTTCAAAAGTGTCCAATAGAAAAGGCTAATAGGATGATTTACTTTTTGTGTATTATCAGGTTTTCCAATTTCGTCGATAAAATTAGGTCGTGTAACTTCCTCCAACCAATTTATTGGAATGCCTTTACATAGGATGCACAATTTATTATTCTATAAACTTAAGGTCTTTAGGACGTCTGAGGGTTCAAAAAGACCAATTATGTTCATGCTATGTCACCTTTTTTTGTTCCTTTTTTTTTCGCTCTCCTACTTTATTCTAATGTGATCTACCATTAGACTTGATTGTTGTACACCGGTGGCTTGATGTTTTTCCTTTGCTCTCACACAAAAAGTATACTTGCTTTGAATATATGATGGACTACAAGCAAATTTTAATCCACTAGTTTGATATGTCACCTTGCAAAAGAATGAAATATTCCAATTATACCTCAATGAAACAAAATGATGCTCAGCTATTTCACTTCCATTGATAGTGAAGTTAATGGGACTCTTAGCTGTTTGTGCTTGGGTTGGGGTTTGTGTGCATGCGTGCTGAAAAATAATTCTAGCTTTATGCATCTGTAGATGGTGCTCACATTCTTGTCACTTATTTTTCCTGCATGCCAGAGTAACCAAACCAAACGAAACGAACAGGGCATAACCCACACCGAGGTAGGGTTGGAGGGTGGGGGGTAGGATGTATGTGGACCTTGCCTTTACCCAAAGGGTTGAGATTCCTCTATGCCAGAGTCTAGTGTAAAATTTCTATTTGCTTTCATATAATTTGGAACAGAAAAATTCTCCTTTACAAGTAAATCCATTCATACTGATGGGATGCGCCACTAGATGGATTGATGGCAACAATCCTGTTTACCCAAGAAAGATTGTGAAGATGTGTTTTTCTTGATTCATTTAGCTCTCTGTGGCTTCCTTTTAGTTTTCAAAAAATTTCCTCTAAGGTTGTGAGATCATTTGAAGAGTTTTGATCAATTGAAATATACTAAGGAATCAACCTTGGATACAAGATCTTAGAAGGATGTTATTCATTTTTCAAAGCTCTTGGATTATTTCAGCTTTTATGGCTTTCTGATGGCTTTCATGTTAGCTGCATTATTGTTGTCATTAATGCCAGTAAATTTGTCCTCTATTGTTTGTTTGGGTTATTTGATATCCTCATAAGCAATTTCAGAAGGTATATAGTGACTGTTTGAAAGGGGTAATCAGGGTCGAACCATCAGAAGGCAACTCCATAGCATCTACTATCCCTGAATGGTTGAAATATAAATCACCTGTCCTTAAACTCCATGCCGTTTCCCTGTCCCACCAATTGACCCCTGACACATCATTACTTTATTGAAGAGTGGGTATAAAAAGATAATTAAATAATAAATAAAGCAATGATGTGGCAAGGGGACATGGAGTTTGGGACAGGTAATTTGTATTCCTAATAGTTGGGGATGTTGGTGGAGATTACCCTTTGATTGCTAATTATGTACTCCCTCCGTCCCAAAGTAAATGTCCACAATAGAAATGGCACACAGTTTTAATTATTACACTTTTTAAATAACCAAATGACAACTTTACCCTTTATTTATTTATATCTCTTCACAACTTTTAAATAATTGTGCATTAATTAAGGTTAGATTTGAGAATTTAGTTATCTAATTGTGAAACTGGACACTTATTTTGGGACAAACATAAATAGAAATATGGACATTTACTTTGGGACGGAGGGGGTAGTTTTTTTTACTATTTTTTGTGCATCTTATTGTTTTCTATTCCTGTTTACTTAAATTGCATGTACAGGAATTTATTTGCATTACTTGTCCCTTGCTGTTGATTTTTTGAGGTTGACCCTATCTCCATATGCAATTAGATAAGCACACTTATTATATCTGCTGTTGGTTTTCTGATCTGCTTTTTTTGGACACCATTGACTTCACTTTTTGTAGGTTGCTGCACTCATCCCCCAACGTGAAATTATGGGTGTAATAAGTGACAATTTCGTTGAAACACAATCACAGATAATGACACAAGCACTCCGCAAGATTCATTTTTCATTATGTCGTTCAGAGACTCTTATTATATTTATAAATCAGGTTATTGTCTAGTTATTAAAGAAATTTCATCAGGTATATATATTGTGGTCAACGGAATTATAGCTGGTTTCTTTTACTTGTTTCTAGGTGAGATCAAATGTAAAATTACGTCAGGAAGGACTTAGAAACGTAAATGAGGCTACCTGTGGTGGAAATGCCTTGCCATTCTATTCTGCTGTACGAATGAGGATTGCTAGAAAAGGACTGCTCAAGACTCAGGATAAGGTAAGAAATTTTGGTTCTATTTATCTGCAATATTTTATTTTTTAAAGCTGTTGGTTTGAATTTTCATACAAGTATTTGGGCCATAGGTGTCTCCTACAAACGTGTCTAAAACCACCACAGTCGTGCCTCTCTCAATATCCATGGTAGGGGAACTCCGAATAAATTGAGAGAGGGAAGATGGCGGTAGTTTGGACACATTCGTAGGAGACCGATGGCAGTGCCTCTGACGCCTCAAATCCTAATCGGGTGCCATTACTTTCTTTTGATACTACTAAGTTTTGTATGCGAACTAAATATAACTTTATTTCTTTCATATATTGCTATCACATCAGAGCTGTAACATCAACAGAAACGTACTCAATAACTTATAATACAACAAGATTTGCTATTGATTGGAATGGTATTGCTTCATGCTATCCTTCTTTACTCCTTCCTTGAGATACATACATGGAATACGTAAGCTTTAAGCATAGTTTTAACATAAACGTGAGAGGCGTCCGCCTCGTGGTGTCCAAAAAACGTATATGAGGCGGCGCCTCATAAGGGCTGGTTGAATCGTATGCCTTAGTTGGTTGAGACGTGGACAAAGGCAGTGAGGCGGTGGGCGTTGGAGAGGCGTCCGACTGGGTGGATTTATGCCCTTATCTTTTTCAATATGCTGATCACTTTTTAATTACTTTTGTATATGTTTTTACTATGACATATAATAACTGCTTTATTTTGTTTTTTTAAGTTTCTACATCTTTTATATATTTTTACTCTAAATAAATAAAATATTTAGTAAGTTTTGTATTTGTTTTATTTTTTTGTTAGTAAATTTTATATGTTTTTACTATAAATATATTATATGATTATATTTAATAACTTTTATATTTGATTTATTTTGTTATTTTAATTTCTTAATTGATTTTCTATATGTTTTTTAGTTACTTAATCCAAGTCATTTAAGGGAACAGATATAGTGATTATGGAGATTATGGTGTAGCTATGCAATCTATGTTTCCGCTTCGAGACATATAATAAGTAGGTTTATTGAATCATGGGCTTTATACTTTGCTTATTTGGTATGGAAATATGAAAGTATGTTTTTGTTAAGCGTTATGGATTTATGAATTTTGTTGTTTTATTTTTTGTGGCTTATGCTTCGACCACCTCGAGGCTTACGCCTCACATACATAAGAGAAAAACGCCTTGAGGCTCGTTTCCGTTTTTTAAAACCTTGGCTTTAAGCTTTAGTGAGTAGTTATTGTTTCATGCATAAACAATCTTCATAATACTTACCAATTTGGAATAATAGTTCACTAAAACTCTTTATCATGCAAAAAAATACTCTTGAGATCTCACTTGCAACATGTAAGTATGCCATACTTGCCTTGAGGTATGCTAACCTCAGGGTCCAGAAAGGCTGCCCCATGAGGTCCATTTGCAAGACGTATCTTCATGCAATATCCCGTACATTGGATATTTATGGTCATACATAACATGGATAAAACTTTCATGCCTTATGTGTAAAACACATCATAACATGCCATCATACATATAGCTTGGCTATAACATATCCTCATTTCATGTAAAGCAAACATGCCAAAACATCTTATCAAATTCTTCATAATGCATAAAATACATTTATATAGCATATATGTATCTCTGTAAATCTCATAACCAAACGGACACAGTATTTCCATCAGGAGGTGGGGTCGGGGGTAAGATATATTCAAACCGAACCTCTACCCTAAATAGTAGAGCGATTGTTCTCTGAACCCCTCCCCCTGCGGCTTGTGAAAAATGTGAGAAAGAGAGAAAGACAGATACGAAAAATTATGGAAAAACTAGTTTAAAGTAAATAATAACATACAAATAGAAGCAGTTACAAGAAAAACAAGAGAGTACCTGTAGACAATCACGTAGCGGATGTGGTGAATGTCTTAAGTTTCTAGTTAGTAATTGGTCCTTTTGTAAAGAAAAGCGTAGACGAGGAGCCACCGGTCCCACAACCACCATGTAAGTGGTGGTGCCCAAGTTAATGGATGCCCACCATCCCAAAGGCCATTTTATGCTACCACTAGGCACCATCACTCAAAAAATTGGGAGGCTAAATTAGCATATCAGAACGTAAATTTGAGTTTTAATGTTTAATTACGTTGGAACACAAAAACAAGTGTTCCGTAAATAATTGAAATTGGAATTGATTTATTAGTTTTTTGGATTGTAATTTGTAACTGTAATTAAATTTGATTTGTTTTGTATTACGATAATTATTTTGTGCTACAAATTATGGGTTTTACTTTTCAGTTCTTAAATTGCTGTTTTCTTATGCTATCTATTTTTTCAGGTAACTGGGCTTGGTATATGTGTAGAGGTGATGAAGAATAAACTAGCACCCGCAATGAAAAAGGCCGAACTAGAGATTTTATTCGGAAGAGGCATATGCCGTGTATCTGAGGTCCTAGAATTGGCTTGTCAACACGGGGTTGTTCCGGAAGAAGGGAATTGTTACTTATTAGATGGAGAAGTTGTCAAGGGTAAAATACAAGCCGAAAAGTATTTGATTCGGAACGAAAGGGTTTGTGATGATTTGGTCAAAACTCTAAGAAGAAAGTTGTTTCGTATCGATCAAGATTCTGAATCATGATCCTTGCGTGTTCTTGCTCAAGTCCAAGAAACGTAGGTACCCTTATAACTTGTATAAATTATTAGTCAACGTTTTTAGAAGATAACGAAATTTGCATTAGTTCCTGTTTAGTGTAATACATATTTCTTTTTCCTGAATCAATGTTTCAAAGTTTCAAAATTTTCTGTTTCCTACAAGTTTTGACCGGTTTTTGTGACACGGATGCCAAGTTTATTGTTCCCTTCGTCGTAACCGTTGGAAACAGGTATGCACGCTATTAGATGTTGAAAGATTAGTAGGTTCCTGGTCGAAATTGGTAGAAAATAAAACCAAGTTTGCCTTATGTTTAGAGTTTAGTGTAACAGACCATTTTTTCTGAACCACTGTAACGAAGTTTCAAAATTTCCTATTTTGTACGAATTTTGACAGGTAAACTATTGTTCTTGTAATATATTATGACGTGAATTTTCGCCATAACCCCTTCATAAACGGGCCATGGAAACTTCAAATCAAGGAAAACAGAATGTGTGTTGCTCTGGAGTTTGAAGGCCAGAACCTAGTTCAAGGTATGTATGCATATACTCCTGGAAACTTCAAATCATTTTTGTGAATTATGTTGTGATAGTATTATTGAATTTATATAGTTATGTTGTTATTATGTTTATTTGTTATTTGCATTTATCAAACACTCATTTTTAATTTAACACTCTTTTATTTAGCACAAGAAACAAACTGACAATTTATCCAAAATCACTTGATCTATATAACTCATAAGATCACTTGTGATTTTACACTAAAACGGCTGAATCATATGATTTTACACTAAAGTAACTTGTAAAATCACATGTGATTCATGCGACTTTCAGGCACCCTTGCATTGATTGTATTTCGCAATAGCATGTAAAATCACATGTGATTTGACCTTTTTCTTGTTCTCTTATTTTGACCCTGTTTTCGTTTAATCCTCCTCTCTCTCTCTCTCTCTCTCTCTCTCTCTCTTTATATATATATATATATATATATATTGGGTGAGAATACTGAAAAAGGAAAGAGCTGAAGAACCACAAAAAACGGATGAATATATATATATATATATATATATATATATATATATGATTGGAGTGTGTTGAGTTAACCAAGAACATTTAAATTACACCAATTTGTTGCCTTTAGACACAGAAATGAAACCCTCCAATTGAAGCAGCAAAGATAATGAATCAACTACTTATCAACTTGATTGAGTTTGCCTAAACCATTGCAATTAGCACAAACAATCTGTGTCTGGTCCTTCCTAGCTGCATTTGCCCTCAACGTCGCTCCCGATTTCCTCACAAACCCTGCACCATCGCACTCCGGACACCTGCCCCACACACACATCAAATTATACACCACGAGATTCGATCAATGCTGAACCCTCAGGATCAGTCGAAATGTATGCAAGTCGACCGGGACACTCACAGATATTAAAATGAAAAAAAGAAGATTCAATGTTGGATTGTTAAACTTACGTGTCTTTGCGGGAGAACAGTATAGGGAATGCGGTTCCCAGAATTGCAACTGCGGCTGCACCTGCAATTAGATAGGTTGTGCCGTCGGAGGAGACATCTCCAACGGCCGCAACCACGGTCAAAGATCCTCTCTTCTGGTTCATGGTCAGAGAACCAAGTCTAGGTGCACCCAACCTGTAGCCATGGATAGCGGGTTTGTTTGAAGAGGAGAGAGTTTGTAGAGGAGAAATTGCAGCCATTTTTGTGGTAGGTTCATTTTCACATGAATTTGCAGTTTTGTAGCATGGATCATAGTCTGATGTCCATAGATCTTTTGGGTTTGTGGATAAGGATATAAAATCACAACAAATAGATATTTGTTTTCCAGCAGATAAGGATGGACCCACACTCAAATCAACCTTTTCATTACCCAAGTGTTTTGGGCCTTTTGCAACATTGCATGTAGTAATGGCCAAAAACCGGTCTGGCCGGTCCCAAGATTTCTTATAACCGGTTATAACTGGTTCAGCGTAAAAACCGGTCTGGGGCTGGCCTGGGTCAGTCCCAAGATTTCTCATAACCGGCTATAACTGGTTTCGGCGTAACCGGTCCGGTCCGGTCCTGGTCGAAGACCGCTCAGGCTAGTTTATCACCGGTTATGGGCCGTAGGTCCCGGTCTCACCCTTAAAAAATATTTTTTTTTAAAATTTTTTAATGATATATATTTTTAATACATTATTAAATTTGTTGTACGGGCCACTCAAATACACTTTAAAAATACGTTTTATTATGAGAATTGTGAACGTTTTTTGTGAATTGAGAACTTGGTATGTAAACCTCTCAACCTTGTTACATATTTATAGTGTTTAGAGGCCAAAAAAATACAAAAAAGGGTAAAAAACGGCTAGTTAACGACTATATTTTTAAAAAACGATCATTCTCGGTCACATAACCGGTCCTGGTCCCATAACCGGTCCCGGTCCCACAAATCCGACAAAAATCATAACCGGATGTAACCGGCGCTCCCATAACCAGTCCTCACCTGTCCTGGGCCGGTCCGGTCGTTGGTTGGCCCGGTTCGGGTCCTCCGGCGGTCCCTGGCCAAGCCGGGCCGGTTTGGCCATCACTAAATTTGTATGTTTTTTAAGTGGGGGCGAAACATCATGTGAAAAGGAAAGTTATAATTAAAAACGTAAAAGAAGATCTGAATGTTTGATTACTTTTAGTCTCATGCGCACCCATGAATTGTGTTTAGAAGGGAATTGATCAGGTGCATCTTTGTGCACCTCATTAGTATTGACATTCAATTAGGACTGGTTCAAGAGTGGAGATCACTTCTTATGCTTCTCACTATAACTTTCCTTTTTATCGGAACCCAACCCTTAAGGTGGAAGGTTATTTTTGTGTTATGTTGCTCTGACAAACGGGTTACTGTAGTAAAATCGGATTATTAAATGATAAAATGTCAAGTTTATTAATAGACTCGTCTATATAGTTGATCGAATAAGATGTGAGTTTCATTAAGTTTTCGTTGTTATTAAGTCATTATTAAACAATCATATATAAGTGACCGAATAACTTGAGTCCCATTAAGCTAACAGACAAATCCTTTGGGATTGTTTACCAAATTTTCTATCAAGTCATGTATGGATAAATTTGTTTGTCTTAGATAAATTGGTGGTGTTGTTTACTGTTTACACTTTTATCTGAACCAACAATCTGAATGACATAAGTGACCAATTTACCCATTGGTATGAATTATGTGGTGTTTGATAAATTGATGTTTGTTTTTTAAGCCAAATGATATTTCTAAAATACAAAAGTGCCTTCAAGCTACAGATAACATTCTATAACAAAGAAAAAAGAAATCGAAACTGTCGAATAGTCAGAGAACTGCTTCTCGAGGTATCAGCGACGATGAAGACGGTGGTAATTCTCGGAAAAAGCTCCAACGGTGCTTGAAAGCTTCAAAAATCAATGTGCAAGAAAGAAGGTCGAGATAAGGAGTTGCAAGTCGAAACCGGCTATGGTTTTTGAAGGTCGAAATTGGTGGTGACGATAGAGATGAAATTTGGAGACGGTGATTATGGAGATAAAGGAGGCGCATTTGTAATCTGGAAGGAGGCGTGTCTCAAATATTAAGGGTAGGGATGTCTTTTTTCTTTATAGCTAAATGAGGATAACATAAACATATACATATGTGCGATTAAGCCGCAAGTGTAGACAGTCTAAAAGAGTTGTGCGAATAAGCCAATCACACCATTAAGCTTATTAAGCCGCAACTAAACACCCCCTTAGACTATGTTTAATAAACTAGTTGATAAGCTAGCAGAAAGCTGATAAGATAATTGATGTTTGGCAAAAACTGACTGATAAGCCAGTTGAAAAATGTAAAATGACCAAAAGGGATATGTTAAAAAATTAGTCAATTTTAATATTTCATGACACAATTAAAATAAATCAGTAATAATATAATATATTAAGTAATACAACTCTGATAAATAAAATTGAATAATAAAATATGTTGATTAATAAAATTTCAATTTGATTATTAAATTAAAAACTAAAACTAAAACTAAATGTTATTTTAATTTTTTACAAAATAAAAGAAAATATAACTTTTTTTTTCAATCCACAATGGTGGTGTCTGATTGGTTTGAACTTGGCTCCAAAGGTAAAAAGTACCAGGAGGTTTCAGGTTCAAATCCAAGAAGGAATAAAAATCCCTCTTTGGCCAGCTCGAAGGGGCTGAAGTTCAACGCAGAGCTTTTTGGTTGTTAAGTTATAGCTGACTTCTTTGCGAGATGATATCGAATAGTACGATCAAAACTAGTCCCATGTTCTGATCTTTCCATTTTTTTTTACCTATTTCTTGAGGGAGTCGGGAATGGATCGATTGTCTATCTTTATTCATATCTTTACTTCTTACGTTTTTGCAGACCACGAGAACCATCTTGTAATTTTGCTATTACGTGGAGAAAAACTGTTATTTTTGACAAAACATGATGTAGTTTACCCTATCTATACTATATTATAAAACATTTGACAAAAACTCTTAAAAATCATTTTTATGCATGAAATACTGTTTATTGATGCATATTACTTAAAATTCAAGATTACAAGTAAATTGTGCGTAAGTACAATTTATTAAAGCTCCATGTTTGAATTCGTGTAACTAACTGCGGATAAACATAATTAAATAGAGGATAAACATCTCATTAAAATATAAAAATTATAAAATATAATCAGTATAATTATGAAGTTCTTACAAAATAATTAATTATTATCGTTACAAAAAAATTATATTATTAAATCAAATATGAATTACTTCGTTATTGAATCTAAATTAAATTATAATTAAAAAATTGAATTGAAAAATTATACAAAAAAATGAGAAGTTTTAAATAGTGAATTTGATACTAATATCGATATATTTTTGTTAAATTTTTATGATATCTTCAAATTTATATTTTATTCAAAAATAAAAACATTGTCGCATTTTCAAAATCACATAAGACCATATTATAACATCGATTGAGATAAAAAAAAATAAAACAAAATATTAAAATCAAGATGTATCTCGTTGCATTACACGAATACCCTTCTAATATTAAATAATAATCACGATGATGATATAAAAATAATTCTTAAGATTAATAGTAGAAATAAATTACAAATTTTGTCTCTGTATTTGAGGTTGATTACGAATAGGGTCTCTAAACCTTAAAAATTATTGGATAGGGTCCTCGTGGTTTTAATTTCGTTTCGGAACCGGTCTCTTAAGCTAACTTCCATTTAAAAACAGGAAAAGTTTAAAAAAAACCCAATGGGCTTTGCGTTTGGAATGATTAAGTCCTTGGACAATTTTTTTGAAACAAATAAATCGTTGGACATTTCAAAACCTGTTAAATAACTCTTTGAACTTTTGAAAACTTGTAAGATACATTATTATGACCTACTGGTTAATGTGGTAAAATAATGAAAAAAGTCTGAAAAAAATCAATGGACTTTCATATTTTGAACGATTAAGTCCTTATACATTTTTTAAACAAAAAAAAAAATACTTACATCTATAAAATGAAACAAATATACCAAAAAAATATCTACATTTACAAATAAGTACGTACATTTAAAAAAGATTATTGATATTCTATAATAAATAACAGGAGTCTAGTACTATAGGAGAATCTGAATTCTATCAAGCATTGAATGAGATTTGCTCAAGCAGTTTTCATTGCGGTTGGTTTTACTGAAATTTATTTAATAAAAAATTTCTGTTAGTGATTTTTCAAATTATAAAAAATAAAAAGGAATTTAAAATTGATTACTAATTAAATTTATTTTAATTAAAAATAAAATATATTTCGTGTATGATTTGTTCAAGTAATTAATTTTAATTAATTATCTATTTAGTTAAATTTTATCGTTAGTTTGTCAATAATTTAATCAAATTAATTTTTATTTTTTAACTTGAAAAATCACCAACGAAATATATTTTATTTGTAATTAAAATAAATTTCATCAGTAACCCTTATTAAATATTTTTTATTTGAAAAATCACATACGAAATATATTTTATTTTTAATTAAAATAAATTTAATCAGTAATATTTTTTAAATCTTTTTTTTAATTTAAAAAATTACTGATAGAATATATTTTATTTTTAATTAAAATAAATTTCATCAATAATCTCTTTTAGATGTAAATACTTTTTGATATATTTGTTTTATTTTGTAGATGTAAGTACTTTTTTGGTTCAAAAAATGTTTAAAGACTTAATCGTTCAAAATATGAAAGTCTATTGATTTTTCTCAAGATTTTTTCCATTATTTTACCACATTAACCAGTTGTATAGGTCATATGGATGTATCTAACAGATTTTAGAAAGTCTGAGAAGTAATTTAAAACGTTTTTAAATGTCTAATGACTTATTTGTTCCAAAAAATTATCCAATGATTTAATCATTCCAAACACTAAAGTTCATTGGATATTTTTAAATATTTATTAAAAAATTTATATTAATATTAATTATTTAAAATTATTATCTATTATTCAGTATATTTAAAACATCTCCAGCAGATTTTTCATTTTAAAGAAAATGAGAATTTTAAAAGCATTTCTAAAATAGGGAAAATGACAATTTTAAGTCAATATTTTAATCCAACGGCTTTCATAAAACAATCTCAAAAATGGACAATGTAGAAGAAATAATGGTTTTTCTCCAAATATAGAAAACAACCTAAAAAATGATTACTAATTGAGATCGTCAATAGAAAACTTTAAAAATA